CTGGCTCTGGGGGCCGCAGGACGGCACAGCCGCGAGACCCCGGCCAGAGGTCGCCCGTGTGGGAAGAGGGGTGGGTTCTCCCAAGTGAGGGGCACCTCCCACCTGCAGGGAGGCCGGGGGGTCTGTTGGAGGGAAGGTCTGGGGACCGTCACCCTGTCATTGTGTCTTCTCCAGGAAGGTCTGTGGGGCACACCTGGGCGCAGGGGGCGGGAGGCACCGTCACCCTGCGCAGAACTTCCAGGACCGGCCTCGGGGTGACCAGGCTCCCACTCAGGCCAGCAGCCGCAGCCGGGGACTGGGGGACACGGGAAGAACCTGTGTGTGTGACACGCGACCTTCCCGAGGTCCGGGCTCGTCCTGAGCCCCCCCCCAGCCAGGACGTGTGTTTTCCCTCGATGACATTTGGGATCTTTTAATAGTCGGCGCATTAGCATACATTTGCATACCTTATGCTAATCAGGCTGTTTATTTTTGAAGAGGCACTTTGACGGGGGGCTGCCTCCCAGGGACCTCTCCCACCCAGCCCTCCCGAGCTGTCTACCTCCCGGGCACGGCCAGGGCAGCGGGCAGCGCCCCCTTGCACACACCCTTGCTGGACCGTGGGGCGGACCAACAGGAGGCGGCGGAGGAGGAGCCCGGCGAGGGCGCGTCCTGTCCTGTCCCGCTCCCCTGGGCCACACCCCTGCTGCCACACGTGCCTCGGCCCCATGGGGTGGCCCTTGCTGCTTCTCCAGAACCTTCTCCCTCGGCCCCCACCGTCCACACCCCCGCTGCCCCATCGAGGTCCACCCTGAGGTGGTGTCCTCCTCACCTCCTGGGCGGCCTCTGACCCCCGGAGACGCCCAGCCCGGGACTCGCCCTCCCGGTTCCCGGCTGCCCGGCCCTCCTGCCCCCCAGCAGACCCTGGAGTCCACCTGGAGAGGCAGCCGCCGGGCGCGGCTCAGCGCTGGCCAGGGGGCGCGGCCCTGCGTCCCAGAAAAGAACAACAGGACAGTACCTCAAGTTTCTCCTCCTCCTGCTGCTCCTCCGCCCCCGCCCGCTCACCGGCTGCCCCCTGCCCTCACTCATGTGGTCCAGCCCCGGGCCTCTGCGCTGCAGCTCCCTCTGCCTGGACCGGCTTCCGGACCTGTTTTATTTCTAGCTGTGTCCCCAGTGCCTAAAACAGCACCCAGTGCACAGCAGGTCTCCACAGACACGTGGGTGCTCAGGGAATGAGGGTCAGCACGGCTGCCCTCCTCGGTACACCCGTGACCACACGAGAGAGACCACCCGTCTCTCCACGAGGCACGTGACTTCAAAACAAAACAGGAGCAGTGCACAGTGGGCTCTGGAGCTCTGCTGTGTGACTTCAGGCGCGTGGCGTTCCCTCTCTGAACCCAGTTTCCTCCTGGGCGCCCGCAGGTCTTAGCCGCACCCCGCAGAGTCCTCCTCCAGACTCAGCTCCGTGCAGTCGGGGGCAGGTGTTTGCGATGCATGAAGTTTAAACATTTTCAATAAAGAAAACAAGTCCTGCCGACGCGCTCCCTGATTTACAGTTGATCGCGTGTCCGGGGCCTCTGCAGGCCGGGCCGGGTGGGGGCCGCCTGGGTTGGGCAGCTCCTGCTCCATCACCGGGAGGCGGCTGGGGCCGTCAGGGGGGAGAATAAATATCACCCCAGAAGCTCCGAAATCGCCGGTTTTATCACCGAGAATTGTCCCTGTGCTGTTTACTTTCAATTTAGATTTTCGGGAAAGTGGCTCTGGGCACACTTTATGCATGAAGGGGAGTGACTGGAATTGGAAACGGCCTGCTGTGGCCACCCAGGGCCAGGAGCACAGCCTGGGTCCAGGGGGTTCCCAGCCACCCACGGGCCATGCCCACGCGGCGGGAGGGACGACTGCAGCTTGTCCCTGCCCTGGTGCTGGGGACAGGGCTTCAGGGCTGCAGGGCCTCTGCCCTGGGGGTTGCTCACTGCTGGGGACTGAGTTTCAGAGCCCGGTGGCCACCTGACCCTCCCAGCAGGGCCATCCCACCCACCCTCACTCTGGAACCTTCACTGGCTCCCTGGGGTCCCCCAGTGGCATGCCCTGGGCTGTCCTCCCCCTCGGAGGAGTGGTCTGATGGCCCTGGGCCGCCTGCCCAGGTGGAGGCCTGAGCCTCTAGAAGAGACCAGCTCCGCGGCCTCCCGCTGCCTGAGAGAGGACCCCAGGGAGGACCCGCGGGAGGAACACCTGGGACTTCACTGGAATCAACGCAGTGACGGTGTGGCAGAGGACGAGGACGACACGTGCCATCAGCGTGCCACAGGGACATGGGGACAGGCAGGGCTCCGGAACCCAGCGAGCAGGTGGACGGAGGCTTCTCTGAAGGGGAGGTGCAGGCGGTAGGAAAAGGGGCCACTTCCCAGGCACCAGGGACAGTCCCTAGGGCGTCACCACACAGCCGTGCAGGCAGCACTCACGGCAAGTGCCGGCGGGCGGAGAAGAGCCGCCAGCCCTGCAGTGCCCCGGGAAAGGGTCGGGAAGATTCGGTTAACACGCACTGGCCAAGGACCCGGCGCCTGCATTCGGGGACACCTCAGGGAGGCCAAGACCTCGCCACCCGCAGGCCTGATGTGATGAGCAGCACCATCCAAAGAGTCAAGCCCTGGGAACAACCCAGTGTCCTGCCATGGGTGGTGGCAGTTGAGCTGATGGTGGAATACTACTCAACCAAGAAAACGGAGGAGGCTCCAAGAGGCCCCACGCAGGCAGCCTGGTGAAGGCTCGGAGGCCTGTCTGTCCTCGTCCTCTTCTGAACCACTCACTGAGATCTTCGCCGACGTGTCACCCGGCGACGCACACAGGTCCACGGCTTGTGGCCTCTTCAAGGAGCCGGTGGCCAAGAGAACCTAGGAGGGCCCCCACCCTCTCCAGCCCCGTCCCATCTCTGAACCCCCTTGTCCTGGACTCTCCCGTCACTGGGTCACACCCTGTGGCTTTGGGTGTCTGTCACCGAGCACGAGGTCCCCAGGTCCACCCATGCTGTAGCTGTCACCTCACTCCTGCCCTGGCCAAGGGACACCACAGGTGAGTGGCCACATTCTTGTGGATGAATGTTCCTGACGGCTTCAGTGACAGAATCACATTGGAGAACAGCCTGGTGCCCATCACCGGGGGCCCGGCTCGCGCATGTGCACACAGGGCGCCTGGCTGGCGGCCAGGGGCTGGCAGGGAGGAGCCTGCAGCCGGCACGAGAGGGGCAGACCCTGGCACACAGGCAGCGGGTCCAGGTGCGAGTCCCCGGAGACGGAGGTGCATTGGTGGTTCAGGGGGCTGCAGAACCGGGCTGGGGTCCCTGTTCACTGGTATGTGACTTCCTGGGGCTGGTGGAGTGCGGAGTAGCTGGTGGCTGCAGATTCGTTGCACTAAAGAGCACTGAACTGTGCACTTTAAATGGGTGAATTGTTGGTATGTGAATTTTATCTCAATAAAGCTCATTAAAAATTCATAGAACTCTGCACTTCCCCAAATCATTTTTACTGTATGTTAATTTTAAACTAAACTAAAATTTAAATGACCTGATGTGGCCTCAAGGCTCTGAAGAGTGTGGCCCCATCTCTCTGCTCTCACTCCCTTCATCTTCTCTTGCTCCCTCAGCTTCAGATTCATTCCCGCCCCAGGGCCTTTGCACCTGCCCTTCCCTCCAGCTATCCAGAGGTCCTGCTTATGGGCTGGGGATGGAGCTCAGCTGGTGGAGAGCCTGCACCAGGCCCTGGGTTCGATCCCCAGCAGTGTACACACACACACACACACACACACACACACACACACACACACACGCACGCACGCACAGTGGCTTGCTCTGTGATTTGCATAATCTCTGATCCCGGACCAGGGGCCGGCCTCCTCGCTCCAGCTGTCAGTCATGGTTTGTTCTCTTGGTATCTTAAAGTGGTCGTTAAAAACAGTCTGGGACCAAGCCGGGAAAGTTCTAGAGACAGAAAGCGGCCGCTGCTCTGCGAAAGGGGCGTGGCTGCTTGATGGCCCCGGCTGTTTTCCTGGGGTGATGCGGAGCTCTGAAGGGGCGCAGAAGGGTGTCGCAGGACGGGCGCTGTCGTGGCCCCAGACACTGCGGGACGCTGCCCCTGCAAAGGGTGGAACCACACACACGGGGCTTCGCAGCCGTATCCGGGCAGTGGCCTCGGGCCCTGGGCAGTGGCCTCAGGCCGGGGCAGTGACCTCGGGCCCGGGCTGGTTTCCTTGCCTGTAAAATGGGCCCGCAGTGGAGTCCGCCTGTGAGGTCGTGGTGCGACACAGCGAGGTTGATCAGGCACGGCTCCTGGGTGGTGCTGGTATACAGCAGGAGCCGCATGCATGCTTGCTCGTCACCGCCCAGAATCACCTGGTGTCCATCCGCTCAGCGCCTGCCCTGTCGCGCGCCCATTGGCCAGAGTGAACCTCGTGACGCACCCGCCGCAAGGGCGTCTGGGAGTTGTAGTCCAGTCTACTGGGTGCGGATGGGCCCTGGGGGGTGTTGGGGCGGCTGGACTTGGCAGGTCCTTGGGAACCCGGTGGGGCTGGGACTTAATCTAAAGCAATAAGGGCGCGGAGGAGAGGGGTGGCGGGGGGCGGAGGTGGGGCGGAGGAGCAGCGGGTGGACGACATAGACAGCTGCGGCCATGCCTTCCCCCACCCGACCACTCAGGGCGTCTGGCAGCCTCAGCGCGACTCAGGTGCCTCTCCCCTGCCCGGCCCGCGGGCGCCCTCCTGGGAGAGGTCCTCCTGATGCGGAGGTGGCAGGGGCCACCCCGGCTCCGGGCCCTGCCTTCACGGTGCCCCACAGCCTCAAAGGCAAGCGCTCATCACGACTATCGTCATCAGGATGACTCCCAGGGTCAGTCTCCACCTCCCTCGCGCCAGGGGCTCCGGGCCAATGAGGTCTTTTAGGTGCGGAGCAGGCAGTGGCCCCGGGGACTTGGGGAGGCGTCAAGAGGGTGTCAATCACACCCCTGGACAGCCGGGACACTGAGGCTCGGGCAATGGGGCGAGGCCAGATGGCCATCGGGCCTCGGGGCGCTGCTGCCTTCGAGCGTAGCCAGTGTGCGGGCGGCCCAGGGCCTGTGTCCGGCCTTGTCCCCCGTGGCCTGTGGCTGGGGAGGCTGGGCCCTCGGCAGGCAGAGGGAGTGCCGGGAGCTCTCAGAGGGGGAGACGGGCACAGATGGGGACAGACAGATAGACAGGCGGGCAGAGGTAGGAAGACGGAGGCAGAGACAGCCGCGTGCACGTGGGGACAGTGGATTCAGCACGGGGCTGGTTGTCACCCCAACAACCCATGGCTCCCGAATTCTCATGAGAGTGGAGAGAACTCTGGGCCAGTGGGTTTGGGAGGCCAGGCCTCTGCGCAGGAGAGGCTCCTGCCCACAGAGGCCACCAGAGGTGGAAGGTGGACATGCAAAGTCCCCATGGCAGCCACAGTTCTGCAGCCCTGACACACCTGCAGCCCAGGAGCCGCAGCGCCTTCAGCACCACGGACAGCGCCCGGGCCCCGACCTGAAGCTCAGGAGCCGCAGCACCTTCAGCACCACGGACAGCGCCCGGGCTCGGCCACGCCGCTGCAGGCTCCCGTTGGGGGTGGCCCTGAGGCTCAGGGCTGGGAGGGCACGAGGGTCCCAGGCAGCGGGAGGGTCACTGAGCACTTACTGCCGGGTTGGCTGGGGCCGCTCCGTGGCTGACAGGCTCCCCTCACCCGAGCAAGCCAGGCAAGGGCCAGTGCTGTAAGAGTGACAACTGGGGAGGGACTTCAGCTGGGGGGATCACAGGTCTTTCTTGGGAGGTGACATTTGAACTGAAACTAAAGAAAATGGGGGCGCAGGGCAATGGGGTGTGCTCCAGGCAAGGGGCATCAAGACCCTGCCATCAGGCCAAACTCCACGAAGTAAAGGAACATAAAGCAGGTTTGTGGGAGTCCCCCAAAAAGTGCGTCTTGGGATGATCTACTTTGGGGTGTTCAAGAGGATAGCGTCCACCCTGGGTCACACAGGACGCCTCAAGTCGTGTTGACAGCAGAGATGGAAGTCTCTGGGCATCCACGGTTCAGGTTCTGACCACGCCATTCCCACTGCGCGACCTCAGGCCCGTGGCATGGTCAGCTGCCGCTGTGTAACAAGTCACCCCAAACAAGGGGTTGGAACCACTGGTGTCCCAGCCTCTGTGCACCAGGGATGCGGCAGGCTGGGGGACTGGCCAGGGATGAAGTCTCCCTGAAGGCTGGGCGCGCAGGATCTGCTCCTGTGCTCCATGGCGGCCAGCGGCATTCTGTCCCTCGCCGCCTGTGGCTGGGGCCGCCTCAGGTCCTTGCCCGAGAGTCCCCCGGCCATGGCAGCTTGCTCCCTCCAGGTGGCAAGGATGGAAAGTCACGGCTCAGTGAGACGAAGTCACGGTCTTTGGGACACTAATCATGGAAGTGACATCTCATTGCTGCTCCTGTGTTCCGCTCCTCAGAGCAAGGAGGGTGACTCGGAGGGCAGGAGAGCAGGGGCTGGGTTGGCCAGGACCACTAGGCTGCCTGCCCGGGGCCCTCTCTGAGCCTCAGGCTCCTCCTCTGTGAGTCTCTTCCTCGCAGGGGCATGGAGAGGGGGCTGGGCAGGATGGTCTCTTGCCCTTCTCCCTCCTGAGGCTCGTGGTGAGGTTCTGCTGCTGAACCAGCCCCCTGTGTCCTCCTGCCGTCGCAGGGCAGGCTGCCCAGGCAGACAGCGAGCTTGGCAAAGCAGTGGCCCACGACCCAGCGTGGTGCCATGAACCCCTGGCCCCCGCGGGCCCTCGCAGCGTGGGACAGCACCTGGAACAGGGACGTGTGGCAGGGAGGCGCCCCTGAGGGCTGCCGGGTGGGATGTGTCAGGCAGGCCCGCCCCTGCGGCTGGTCAGCAGCTGTCCCCCTGCTCACGGGCAGTGTCCTGGGGGCAGGCACACTGCACCGAGATTCCCCTTTATGAAGACCCTCGCCAGGTGGATGGGGGCCTCGCCCTGCCCCACTGTGACCTCATCCGAGCTAAGTGCAGGGCCAGTGGCCCTGGATCCAACGAGGCCACAGTCCAGGTACTGAGGACGAGGACTTCAGCATGAGTCTGGGGGGGACGTGATTCAGCCCGTAGCACAGCGAGGGACCTGTCTCTGTGTCTGTCCGTCTGTCTGCTCCCTCCCTGGCTCCATCTCCTCCAGGCCCCTTCCTGCCACGGGGACTCTGCATGTCCCCCTCCCACGGGAAACCCCCGGCTCTTCACAGGACAGGCCCCTGGGCTCAGATGGCACCTCCTCCACCTCCTCGCTGTCCCCGGACACACCCAGCACTTCCTGCCCCGCCAGCTCCCTGTGCCAGGGACAACCTGCTCCATGCCTCCCTCTGTCTTAGGTCTCAGCTCAAATGCCATGTGGCTGCTGCAGAGTCCCTCCCAGCCCCCAGAGCCCTCCCCTGCTTGGTCCCACTGCATGTCCCCCCCCCAGCTGACACCCTGGCAGTGGCTGTGGCTGCTCCCCGGCAGAGGCCACCTGTCCCGCTAGGGCAGGGTCTTCATGGGCTTTGGCCTCTGTGTCCCCAGCTCCCAGCCGGGCCAGCACGCAGCTGTGGCCTCGACGCTCCTGTGGCCCTCGGGGATGGTGGGGTCGCTGGACCTGGGCTTGGTGAGGCGGGGTCACCGAGTGCCAGCATCAGGGGCGGACTCTGGTCCCTCACACACTGTCTTCAGACACAGTGTCCCCGGCCAGGACAGGAGGTGGCAGACCCCTGTCCCCCTCCCTGGAGGCCCTCGTCGGTGTGGGTTGGAGGAGGAAGCCTCTTGAGGGCGGAGGAGGCCCTGCCCCGCACACCCCGGCCTCCAGGCTCGGCCCGCGGAGGCCCCGACCAGGAGGAGAGCTTGTGCCGGGGATCTGAGCCCATCTGGTCCTGTGTGCAGATGAGAGCGAGTGGGAGTGACAGGCCACCCATGAGGACCTGCTGACAAGGGAGTGCTTGGGGACAGTCCCCTCCCTCCTTCCGGCCTCCTTCCCAGGGTTTACTGAGCACCTAGTGTGCGCCCAGCCAGCCCGGGGCGGGCAGTCTGTCCCCAGCCAGGCCTCCAAGACACCCAGGCAGGACGGAGCTTCAGGGTGGCCGGCGGAGGGGCAGACCCCACCCTCCTGTCCCCCTCCCTGGAGTTAGCGCCCCTCCTCCCGCGTGGGAGGCGAGTGACTTCATCTGGCCCCCAAGGCTGTCACTCAGCGGAGTCAGACCGACAACACGGTTACCATGGAGACGATGCTCCCCCAGGAGGGCCAGCGCCGGAAACCGTGTGAACCGCACAAAGTGACCGGCCGGGCACCCAGAGTGGCGCCGTGACGCCCCCACTCGGACGTGGCTCCGCCACCCACCCCGCAGCGCAATGCCCCCGGCGCCCAGTCCTGCGCCCCACCCGCTGGCACGTCCACCGAGGCCAAGCGCAGGCCACAAACTTCCCGGCCCCTCGGGGCTCCCAGACCAGAGGGCGGCCAGGGGCCTGTCTCCTGTGGCCTGGAGGAAACCACGGGCTGGCGGGAGGCGAGCAAGCCAGGGTGGGAGGGCCAGGAGGGTGGGCGTGGCTGGGCCCCACAGCAGCGCCTGGGCTGCAGCCGGGGACACGGAGGCCCTGCGTCACCCGTCAACCTCTGTGAAAGGGGGAGCCAGCCTCGGGCAGCTCTGGGGGACAGCGCTCCAGGCAGAGGGCACGGCTGTGCAAAGGGCCTGGGGCCGGGAGCCTGGTGAGTCGGAGGCTCAGCCAGAGCCGGTGCAGCTGGGCAGAGGGGAGGGGAGAGGGGAGGAAGGGGGCCGGCAGGACGCTTGGGGCCACAGGGAGGACTTGGGCTTTGACCTCAAGGGAAGTGGGAGCCTTGGAGGGTGAGGACAGAGGAGAGGCCTGAGTCAGGAGCTCACAGGATCGACCTCTGCCTGCCCAGGGAGGACAGAGGCACCTGCTGGCCCGGATGGCAGGTGTCAGCCCATGCACTGGCCGTGGTCAGCTGGAGCCTGCCCACGGAGGACGCGGAGTTTGTTGTAAAGGTTATTTCATTTCTTAGCAAGTGCACACCAGGAGGGGTCAGGGTCACTCGTGGGGCAGGTCATTTCTGGGAACTTAGCCCTAAAATGGGGCTGAGACAGTCCTGGGCCAGCCCCGGGGTTGGAGCCACCTGGGGACACGTGGGACGTGGGAAATGCTGTGCTGCATCAGGACGTGAGACAGAGGTGGCGGGGGCCGGCGTACCCCCACAGGCTCACGGTGGAGACGCTCAGGGAGGGCGGGTCACCTCCCCGGAATCGCACAGCTTGTCACCATGAGCGGACTGTGTAAGGCAGGGCTGCTTCCTCCAGGCCGGGTACCTCGAGGGGACCCTTCCGTGGTTAGTGGGAAGTCACATCCCTGGGTCCTGCTGATGGGTCAGGGGTGGCCGTGTGACCTGAGGCCAGCCAATCAGAACCAACAGGAGACGGGAACCAGGAGACAAGAGGGTTTCCTCTGTGCGTGGGCTGTCCCCTGGGAAGACGGAAATGAGCCTGAACTTGGGAGTGTCCTCTGCGAAGGGGGCAGGGGAGGCCTGCGGTGAATGAGGCCCACCCAGAAGGAGTCCAGGAGAGAAGGTGACAGAAAGACTCCCCACAACACGATCTCAACGCCTGGATCCAGCTACGCCTGCACCCCAGGGTTAGCGATCCTCATGACCCATCTGTACCATTGGTGTGTGGCTTACACCCGGGCGTTTCCCACTGTTCACCATCAAACTGAGCCGCAGAGCAGCGCTTCCTGCCACCAGGGTCTGTGACTCTGCGCCTCAGGGCCCAGATGGTCTTCGGCTGCTGTCCTCTAGAGTCCCCAAGGCCCCCTCCCCCCTCCTGTGCTGGGACGGGAGCCCCGGGGTGCTGTGCCCCCAGCCACCCGCAGGCCTCTGTTGTTCTGAGTCGGGGTGCACCCGGCTGGCGGCCGGCTGGACTGCGGTCACCTGGCTGCTGTCGGAGCAGCCTGGGTTCCAGTCTGGACGCGGGTGGGCAGCCTCGGAACGGAAGTGTGCCTGAGGGGGCAGAGCCAGGTGCCACCCGCGCCTGCTCCTGCCCTCAGAGGGCGCGGGGCTGGGGGCCAAGCCAGGTGCCCACCTCAGGGCCGTCCCCAGCTGCCCTGGGTCCCTGCTGCTTCTGGAATCGCTCCTCCCTGCGGCACCAGGCGGCCTCCTCCCCTGGGACATTCTGCAGGACGCTTTCCAGTCTCAGGGCCCCCCCTCCGGGCCTGGACGCCTCTCCTTCCTCAAGGTCCCCTTCCCGGGTCTGGATTCTCCTGGGGGACAAAGTGGGGACTTGGGGGCGGGGCGCACAGGTTGGGACCCATCCGTCGGGTGGAGGCGCGGGCCGGCCTTGGACGGAGACAGGGCGGCGTTCCGGTCGGGAGTGTCCCTGCGCCACAGGGAGCGGAGCCGCGCACGTCGTGGGGGCGGACTATTAGACGGTGGAGCAGGTGGGTCCCTGACGCGGCCACGCGGTGGCCACGCGGTGGCCCTGACGCCCGGGAAGCGTGGCCTTCCCGCCAGGCCCCCCACTGCACAGAGGGCCACCGGCAGAGGATGACAGGTGTCGCGGGGCCTCAATGTCCCCATCTGCAGCCAGCGCTGGGCTGGGCAGCGTCTCCCCCGCAGCTGGGCCCGCGCCCGCAGCTGCGTGGTTGCCATGGCTACCGGGCAAGCATCGCCCAGCCCCCACCTCGGACCAGGCCCTTCCAGGGCCCAGCTCCTCGGTGTCATGGAAACGGTTTCCAGGCGCCGCGACGCCTCCCCATTGGCTGAGCTGGGCCCAGGCACAGGGCAGCCCCGGGGTCACTTCTAGGGGCCAGAGCTGCGTTTCTTCAAGGTCCCCACCAGCCCACGGTGGATGTCTGGAACCCGGTCTTGATTTAACTCGTCCACCCCCACCCCAGAAGCCAGGGCCACCAGGTCACCTGGCAGGGGCGGGGCTGCCTGCTCTCCGCCTCTCAGGGTCCTCAGCGTGAACAGAGGTGACCATGACAGCCTTGCTCCACAAAGGTGGCCCTGAGAGGAGCCTCCAGGCAGCCCCTCCCCCTTCTAGAACCTTCTCCCGGGAGCAGAGGATCCCAGAAGGAGCTGCGGACCCCCAGGGGCCAGAACCTTGCACTCAGGAGTGAAGGACTGAGCCCTGGGGACAGAAAAAATAGAGTTGATGACAGTGACCTCGGCCAGCAGGGGTTCCAGGTAGCGGACACCGCTCAGGCGAAACTGGCCGTGAACACGTCCCCTTTGGCAAGCAGCGTGCCACCCCTCTCCAGAGATGGCAAGGGGAGCCCAGGGGGAAGTGAGTGGCAGGCAGGGACTCAGACTCGGGCTCCCTGGCACCAGGTCTGACCACCAGGCTCTTCTGTGCCACGGTCATGGAGCGTCCCCTCCTGGGCGTCTGCACTGGCCTCAGGACAGGGGCTGGGGTGAGGGGATGTGGCGGGAAGTGGCCTGCTCGAGGGCTCTCGGCCCTCCACCTCCTCACTAGGGACCCGCAGGCCTGGGGCACACCCAGGGCAGGACCGTCCCTGGGACTGCAGTGGCCACCAGACAGGCAGACGCTGCAGCCCACCCCAGCCAGGACATTCTGGAAGGAGGCTCGGGTCCAGGGACCTGAGAAGGAACAGTGGATTCAGGGGACGAGGTGTCTGTTCAGCTCTGCTAAACCCAGGGGCCCAGCAGGTGCGGGGACAGCTGGGCCCAGGCAGAGATTTCAGGTAAAGGAGAGAAGGGTCCCGGGCCAAAGGCACAGCCGTTCAAAGGCCCTGAGGCAGGAGCCTAGCGTGTTGGAGGCTGGAGCAGAGGGGCGGGGCAAAGAGGGAGGAGGGAGGACATGGAGGATGACCATGCAAGGGAAATCAGAGAGCCTTCGGGAAGGAGGCGACATGTGAGCAGAGGCCTGGGGAGATCTGGGACCGGAGCCCTCCAAGCGGAGGTTGTGCAGAGGCCCTGGGGCTTGGCGGCGTCTGCTCGAGCAGAGGAGGCAGGGCAGGCAGGTAGGGGTGGCGCTGTACTGGCCCAGGAGGGTGAAGAGCAGCTGGCCAGGCAGCCGTCCAGGTGGCCGATGGGCCAAGAGCTCGAGTCTGGGTAGGACGCAGGGTGGGATGCAGAGTTAAGGCCCCGGGGCCTCCATGATGGAGGGAGGGCGGGCGAGGGCGGAGTCGGGGCGAGGTCAGCTGCAGCCTCTCCCTCCCTGTCCTGAGAGGTCCCCTGGGAGGCTGGCGGAGGGTGCCTGGGCCACCAGCCGCGCAGGACGGCGGCACCGGCTCCCACCAGCTGCTGGCAGCACGCGGCCAGCTGTTCCCTTCTGGGGCCATCTGTGGCAGCAGCTGGCGGAGCCTGGGGTGCGGAGGCGCTGGGCGGCCGTGAGGAGCTGTCCCCTGGCTTCGCGGAGGCACCGTGGCGCGGGAGACGGGACCAGGCGGAGCCCTCGGGCCCTGAGCCCTCCAGCAGAGGGAGGTCCACCTGGACCCTGGGCTGGGAACCTCGTGTCCAGCTGCGCTTTCCCAGCATGCCCTGCCAGTCCTCCCTCAGCAGGTACGCATTGAGCTCCTACTGTGTGCCTGGCCCGTCCCTGACCCCAGGAAGTTGGACCCGACAGTGGCTACAACAACCTGAGC